AGAATATTCTGTACGAAATGTACGAATTCTCTAACAAAACGTTTAATGAAAAGCAACAGAATATTGACTTTCCGTTCAGACAATGAGAGCACGAATTTTCGTTAAGAATAGGCATTCAATTCACATTCAAATTCAATTTAACAAAACCATTTGAGTTCATTTTTATTGTATAAATAGATGTTTGAGTAATTGATTCTTGGAATTACATATTAAAAATTAATGTATATTAATGTATATTGTCAAAATGTTGTTTTCGAGTTTATTTTTCAATTAAATCGTTTTATTCGAGAAGTTCATTGAAAAAGCCTTAAAAATTCATAAATTCATTGGAAAAAGTAATTCACATTTTCAATGAACTTAACAAATATGATACCATTTGTGAAGTAATTCGTTTCGATAGAGTGAGCGTAGACTTGAATGCAATCGGTTTGACCTCATTTAAGGAGTAAATAAAACTGTGTTTTCATTGCTTCCGAAATGCAGTCACAACTCGAGAGTCATTGAAAGGATTTTCGACTCAACACTCAATTGATTCCTTACAAAAATCCTACAGATTTGCCAATTCTTGCGATAAACTGATGTGTGTTGAGAAACCAATGTATAAATAGTTATACACAATACCCGTGTAATATGGGTATACAAAGATTTGTTAGATATAGTGTAGGTTTTGTAGAAATATATAAATTTATTTTTTATATATTTAGTTTGCATTCAATTATTTAGAGTAAATTATCGATTGAGTTGTACCTGTAAAGTGAAGTACAATGTATTTTTAATTTGATAAATATTTGCTTAAAAACTTTAGGACTTTTTGTCGATCGTAACATTTTTTCCAACCATTATAATAATGATAATAATCTTCCGGAATTGGTTTCAAATTATTTTTTATAGAAATATATATTATTTCATAAATACATTAAATATTAAATACATTTAAAAATTGTGTTATTATCAAAAGAGCACAATAATGTCATAAAATATTACAATTAAGTAATAATTCCTAAATAGAGATTAATAACAAACATTTAAATAATTTTTTTCTCGTATATTTATAATTATATGCAAAATGTATATAACGTGCCGATTGAGCTTTAAAATTCATTTTAAGACCTGGTTTCTTTTTTGAGATAACAAATTGATAAATTCAATGTAAAACAGCCTCTAAAAGGGAATGTAGTCTTGAAAATCAGTTTTTTATCATCAAAAAATACTATTAACACAAACAATAGCTGTTATCATAACATGAGAAATAAAAAGATTGTCATCTCATGGAGTAAATCAAACATGAAAAATATAACTACAAAAGTGTTTTTTGTTTGTTTTCAATCATAACTTCCCTTGATCATAAGATCATACGATATTTTCTACAGATATTTTTATTAGGTTTCTGTTTGTTGTTTGCGTTTAAAATACATATATTTTCAACTTTTATGGCAATAAATCACTGAAAAGTTAAGTTATATTTTAAGCACAGATTGTTTTTTCGGAGTTTTATTCATTCGCGAGAATACTGTCAAAAGCAAACGAAACGCTAAGTTATTCTCAAAAGTTTAAATTAATTTAATTTCTGCACTAGTCTTTAATGAATTTATTATTAGTGTTTATTTATATAACAAACAAACAAATATAAAATACGATTTATGAGCTTTAATAAGTTTCATGAAAAAATCTGTTGTGTGCGAGAAATGAGAAAATAAAGTGCAAATACAGTACACAAGTGTATGGAAACAAGAAATGAGATAAAAATACTTATAAAATGAATGTTTTTGATGTTAAGAGTTTTCTCTATTATTAACAAGTAAGTAAAAAGCACTCAAAACAATATACTTTTTTGTGTTGATAGTCAGGTGGAAATGATGTATAAGTACTGAAATTGGTTCTTGGTATTATTGGCATAAAAATAAAATTCATATATAAATTAAGCCCTAAAAAAGTCCGCAATCTTTGAGGTTATTCTTGATGATGACATCCGTGACGGCGTCGAAAACAAACTGAATATTATTGGTATCCGTGGCGCACGTGAAGTGAGTGTAGATCTCTTTCGTGTCTTTCCTCTTATTCAAGCCCTCGAACTTCATCTGAATATAAGCGGCCGCCTCTTCGTACGTGTTGTTCCCTATCATACAAAACAAATATATAAGATATAGATAGCAATACAGTGTACATCTCTCTCTCTCTCTCTCTCTCTCTGGTCTGCTCTCTCTCTCTCTCTCTCTCTCTCTCTCTGGTCTGATGCATATGAATGGATGGCTATCATTACCGGCGTATTCCGGGTAACATATGGTGAGGGGTGAGCGTCGGATCTTATCCTCGAAGAGATCCTTCTTATTCAAGAACAATATGATTGACGTATCGATGAACCACTTGTTGTTGCAAATCGAGTCAAACAGTTTCATGGACTCAATCATACGATTGACTTCCTCGTCTTCGGCGAGCACTAAGTCATAGCCGGAAAGGGCGACACAGAAGATGATGGCTGTGACGCCTTCGAAACAGTGGATCCACTTCTTGCGTTCGCTTCGTTGGCCTCCGACGTCAAACATCTTGAAGTGGAGGCCTTTGAAGGAGAAGTGTGTCTCCACTATACCCGTGGTCTTGACTCGAGTGCGGAGCACATCCTGTTGTGTGGGCACATACGAGGGCTCAGCGATCCTGTCCAACGAGTTCAGGTAGTATTGGGCCGAATCGTTGAGCTGGTATTCCCGCGATCGCGCGAAACACATCTGAACGCCCGGGTCTTTCCACAGCCTCTTCATCACTGCGGATAACTCGAGGGTGAGGTCGCCCTCAATGGAGGCGCCAACCATTGTGAAGAACTTTCGGGCCGACTCGTGACACGCCGGGTCCTTGAAGTCGATCTTCAGTTGACCCATGGCTTTGATGATCGCCATAAGACTTTGTATTGTGTTTGAATGGACGACAGGCTTGTATTGGAGACATTCATCTTTGGTATACCCGGACTCGTGAATAATTCTGCGGGAATTAAGTGTTCAAAAAAGTTTTTATTCAAACAAATATCCTGATAAATAGCCTGTAATGTTCAGCACCTGGACCTGAAATTTATTCTAACATTTTTATGGAGAGTGGAAATCCTACTCGAAAAACGAGTTCAATATTTCATTTCAAACAACATTTCACATGTCAGCCAATACTTTCAAGCCTATCATGTCTTGAAAGACATCAAAAAACTGTTTTACATGTTTGTGAAAACCATTTACCTGTGTATACAAAATATTAATCTCTTTGCAAACATTTTGTCTCCATTTTAGTACTCATCAACTTTTATATATTTTAGTGCCCATCAACTTATTGCTTATTATTCAAGTATCGTTTTTATTTCAAACAGACCCTCAATTATACACAGAATATCGTTATATTGGCACCGAATTTGTCATTTTAGAGAATTGTATATTAAATCCTTTATAATCCCAATAAATCTGGAGTAGTCTGCAGTATAAGTTACTGTATTAGAATAGATTCTGGATGTTATATATCCACATATATTGTAGATTTTATTTACGAGTGAATAATTCTGGAAATTTTATATAATTGTGTTATACTTGTGAATAGTATTGATGTTATGTTAGATGCAAATGTAAAGAGAGTAATGTAATGTATACCTCATTTGCTTGACTATTGTGCTCTTTCCAGACTCGCCAGCACCTAAACCGTGCAAATAGAAATAATTTTAATATTCTCATTATTATTATAATTAGATTTATATCGAGTAAAAAAGCTTTTATTGTCAACTTATTTGCAAAACCAATATCTCATTTCTGAAAAGGCTTTAAACCAATTAAAAACTGGTCGTATCTGCAAATAATGTAGTGTATTGGACCAGAAATTAGTATTAAATAGATGTGGAGAATATAGGGAACAGTAAATGTTTGACAATACAATAATTTGCAGAGAGAGAGAGAGAGAGAGAGAAAGAAAGAAAGAGAGAGAGAGAGAAAGAGAGATAATGAAATGGCTTTTAACTTAAATTGAAAGACATTGTAAACATCAAATAATTTCTCATTATTTTCACAATATTTTCTGATTGAAGTCTTTTTTATTGATAAAACCAATATATTTTGTGTTTTGGGCCAACATTTTCATTGAAAGTGTTTTTTATGTTGTTTTCCCCGAATTCCCTCAAATAGAGAGAGTATTAGCGATCGATCGACAGATATATCAATCGATAAAAACTGGATTTTATTTGTCTCTTTGAATAATTAATAAACAATTAACAGGTGTTTTAGGCACTGATTGCTCTGAATTAGTTAGCATTCAATTGATTGCTTTTGTTTGTTGGGCTCAATGCTGAGGGTCAGTAGAAAACTGATTTGAAATAAATTCCCATTAATTATGAGCCATTATTTTGACAAATAATATCTGTTTAACATTGATTTCAATTTATTAAGCAGTACTTAATGGCACTAATAATAAAAATAATTATTGTTTATGGTGATTGAAAAGTATAAACAACATTCATTCGTGGGTTTTATTTGATTTATAATAAAATTGTGCTTAAATTTGACTCCAATCATGAAATTAATATAAATTTTTGTGTCTATAACCATACAAATCACATAACAAATGAATATAATTTTGGATTCTATGGCCATAATATGTTCAACATATGAATACGTGAATCAAACACTTTATTTATGATTTAATTAATTATTAACATACTGTTGAATACGAATTTCTTATTTGGGTGTTAATATAGTCGTATAAATTGCTGCTAAATATACAAATATAGACTTTTGTGTTACCATTAATACATAGTTTATATAATATTTATATAAATATATCGCTATTTTAGTCGTTATATCATCACAAATATAACACACATTATAATGAATACAATAACATTGACTATATTTGAACTGAAGAGCAAATAAAATGTGGAAAATTTCAAGAATTTCCTAATAAAAGACTATTCATACTATTCATATGTACAACATTTAAAACAAGTGAATTTGGACAGAAATTTAAACTAAATTATTTCCACTAATACTGTGTTTGTGTTGAGTTCATTGCAACGAATAAAAATGTTACCAAATAATGATCATAAGTTATGTAACATTAATACGGGTTTTATTTCAAAAATACAAACGTTTGTCATATTTTAGGAATAGCCGTTGGATTCGTTAAGACATTAAGAAACTAGAGATAATATTTGAGATTCAGATAAAAGTGTTGTACAAATAACTCTCGATATACATGCTGTATAAACTATCATGCTATTATAGTAACTGTTTAAAATTTAAATATTTTAATTGAATTCACAAGATTTCTATTGTTTTGTTATAATTAGATCCTAAAGTGGCTGTGAATACTGTATGTTGTGTACAGTATATTATGTGCCAATGAATGCAATGTTCACTATAAAGTGGATAAACTGTTTTAAAGCACTGAATAAAATGTGATTTTGTTTACCCAGAATATTCAGTTAAACAAACCTAACGTTCAAACAAAGAGTTTTTACTTTTAAGAAAACAAAANATAATATTTGAGATTCAGATAAAAGTGTTGTACAAATAACTCTCGATATACTGTATAAACTATCATGCTATTATAGTAACTGATTAAAATTTAAATATTTTAATTGAATTCACAAGATTTCTATTGTTTTGTTATAATTAGATCCTAAAGTGGCTGTGAATACTGTATGTTGTGTACAGTATATTATGTGCCAATGAATGTAATGTTCACTATAAAGTGGATAAACTGTTTTAAAGCACTGAATAAAATGTGATTTTGTTTACCCAGAATATTCAGTTAAACAAACCTAACGTTCAAACAAAGAGTTTTTACTTTTAAGAAAACAAAAATTCAAAAAATATTTTTTATGCAGAGAGAGAGAGAGAGAGAGAGAGAGAGAGAGGAATAATAAATAAATAAAATGCAAAATGCATTTAAAACACAAATATACATAGAGTTAAACCTAGGCATGGAAAGTGGATTTCAAAGAAATTAATTTAATTTACATGAGAACTACATTTAGAAGTGAATGTAATATAAGTTTTTGAAATATAGTGAATAAAAGACAAAATGTTGTGTAAATTGCATTAAATTTTGTGTGAATAGCAATGACTTAATATAAGCCTGAAAATCGCCCACTCCTTAACTTCTTGAATAAACAAGATATGAATGGTGTTAATGGATATGGAGGTGGTTATTGTGGTTTCAATTTGACACCAGAAATGAGATATGAATGGATCAATGGACAGGATGTGATAGATAATGATAGTGTGGATGACATACCGAGAAGAAGTAGCTTCACTTCTCTGGACTGCTTCTCGAGGTCTGCCCTCAAAATACTGTCGATTTTTTTACTCCTTTCGATGGCCTCCTTATCACTCGTACTGACCGCACAACCCATTGTCACCAATCAATTGGTCCCACAATTAACACACAAAATGCTAGATATGCTGTTGAATGGTATAAGCGATCGATGATATACACAATCAATCTATGAGTTAATGAGTGAACAGAAAAAAGTAACTTTTGTTTTGTCGACTAATGAGGAAAAGTATAACACAATTAATTTGATAGTCAGATGTGTATCACAAATATGTGATGATATGCACCAAACGATGGCATAAATTGATGAAACAAATGGTTCAAAACGAGTACAGAGTTGTTGCTCACATAAAGTAGTGAATTTAAATGCGAGCGTTGAATGTATTGAAAATCGCCAAGCTAAGTATATAATGAATTGGCGCCAAAAAACAAGTAACCGTTTG